TTCCCATTTAATTAACAATCAATATTGATATATCCGATATATAATGTGTAAACGATTGATTTGTAGGATCGTGTAAGAAAAGAAATTTCTAACGTGATGCAGGAAAATGATGGAAAGCTTACTATGAAGGCATTACAGAGTATGCCATACTTGGATATGTGTTTGAAAGAGTCGATGAGAATGTATCCTAGCGTCCCTTTTATATCGCGTGAATGTTCCGAAGATGTAAAGTTACGTGAGTAATTAATAGACTCTATATATAACATTATTATATATAGATCTCTATATATAACATTATTCTTCGGACAGTTCAAACATGGAACTGCGATGGAATACAAATAGATATGAAATCAACAGAGTGTATTTTAATGTTTCCCATAAAATAAACAAGAAAACTTATATAATCATATTTAAATTATTCATCTATATTTATAATAATATATTATAATATTTTGAAAAGTTGTAAATCTTTTCAACTCGCTCAACTTCATTCATTACTCCACGTGTATGGAGAATTTGCATATGTGTACAATAAATTAATTATGCATATGTACATATATATTTATTGTTAAACTTTCTATTGCTGTATATAAGACATACTTTATTAGATTCATTGGTATTTTCAGATCCATATTTGGTGCCAAAAGGCACAACGGTACATCTCGGTATCTATGATCTTCATCATGATGCTAAGATTTGGCCGGATCCGGAGGTATTTAATCCAGATAGATTCTTACCAGAGAATATAAGGAGTCGTCATCGTTATTCCTATTTACCATTCAGCGCCGGACCACGAAATTGCATTGGTAATTTATAAAATATTAATTTCTTATTCCGGAAATATATTTTAATGGAATTACAATCTATAGGTCAACGATTCGCTTTGTTGGAGTTAAAAGCTTTGATAGCTCCTTTGGTGTACAATTTCTACTTAGAGCCCATTGATTATTTGAAGGATATCCGATTCAAGGTGGATTTTGTATTTCGTGCTGTACGTCCAATTCGCATGAAATTTATTCCGATCACACGTACATCTAACACGAATATTAATTCTTAAGAAGAAATCGATTAAAGCGAAATGTTACGTTAATAAGATTATATATTAATTGAGATTTTATTAATTATAAACACAGTGGATGTTACGTGCAAGCATATCTTATCATTGGCAGTTAAGAATAGAAAAAGAAATATGTTCTTCAAACAGCGGATATGTAAATGTGCATTGTAAGGTTTGTAAGGCATTGAAAGGCTTTGGAAAAATTGAATTTTTTCAATCACATGTAATCGCTGTCAAATCCATCGGCACGAACAATTATAACCTTCCGATGCGCATCCGTTATTATTAGTTTGGAAGCTATAAAACGGGCGTTTTTGGTTAGTCTGTGTTCAACTGCGACTGAGAGAGGTTAATTACAACGTGCGCTCGATATTTTTATTTATAAATTTTAAAGGTATTCTTCTTACTCATTTTGTAAAATTTTTTCATGTTTGTGTTTCATTTTTATTTTATATTTCTCCCAAACCAGATGCAAACAAAACGCGATTTACATCTACTTTTTTTGTATGAGTACAAATTGAATCATAGTGCAACTCAACCTTCGAGAAATATTAATCAAGCTTTCGGAAATGGATCCACCAATGAAAAAAATGTTCGATATTGGTTCCAAAAATTTCGTTCTGGCAATTTGAGCATCGTCAATGAGCCTCGAAGAAGACCACTGGTCCATATTGATAACGAGGAATTAAGGACGACTATGGAATCCGATCCAGACACAAATATTCGTAAACTTGGGACTAAGCTAGGAACTAGCCATACGGCTGTATTGAAACATCTGCGTGCAATAAACAAAGTAAAAAATTGGACTCATATGTACCGTACAAACTGACGGAACTGCAGATGGTCGACCGCAAGAGTAAGTGCGCATCTTT